AAGCATAAAACTGTCCCAGACTTGCAACGTTTTTAAAAAATACCAGAAATCGGAGAGGGAGGGGGGTAAAGGTTTCAAGTAGTTGATCTATTGGATGACGACAGGTGGGTATAAAATAAAAAATGATATTATTATATATTCTTCCAACGAACTGAGACTGTTCTTCAAACTTGTTAGAACAACTTGTTTCTTGAGCCACGATTGCACATGAACGTAAAACGATATGACCATTTCGCTATTTGGGGATTGGAAAATTGCAGACCCGTGTATCTACAAAACAAGGCAGATCCTTGCAAAATTGCGGTGAAGACGAAGTCTAGTTCTTTCTCCCGAAACACGATTTTGCGGAAGGCGTAGATTCGTTGAATGAGCCCAAAACGAGATTTCCGTTGGTGAAGCGCACTTCTGGTTGAATGGCTACATCAACAAAAAAAACTGCCACATTTGGAGTGAAGCTAATCCTCAATTCTATGTTGAAACACCGTTACAACCAGAAAAACTTACTGTTTGGTGCGCTTTATGGACTTTTTCATTCCTGAAATGAACAATCATGATGTTCAGGAGCTGTGGTTCCAGCAAGACGGCGCAACATGTCACACAGCTCGTGCTACAATCGACTTATTGAAAGACACGTTTGGTTATTGCCGATATACAACCACAAATGTTGGAAAAAGTCATCGAAAATTGGACGTCCAGATTGGACTACATCCGAGCCAGCCGTGGCAGTCATATGCCAGAAATCATATTTAAAATGTAATGCCATAAGATTATCTTTCGAATAAAAAAAATTCATGTCAATCGAATAATCCATCGTTGTTTTATTGCAATTTAAAGTTATATACCTCTAAAAAAACACACTTTATAATTACCCATAAATAGTTTGTTCATAATTTTTCGTTTCTCCGTCTTCGCATGTTTGGGAGAGCCTGTATATCATAAAAACGTTTCATACGCTTATGGCGAGCCCATAAGAACTTGTGATCAGGATGCTCTGGAGAGCTTATTAAAAAAGTTTGAGCAAGATTCACCAGTGGCTGGTTTCAGTAAGGTTTGAAGATGAAACTCTCGCACTTGAGGAAGACATTTTCTAACCCCATTGTTTCGGGGTGTTTAGGTGTTTGGGTTATTCTGTGCAAAATGTCCTTAGTAATCAAATTATAACCGCTCTGAGAAACCCCCTCTAAGTTTTTCGATTCATATTGAGGGAAATTCATCAAACGAGATTATGAAAAAAATCGAGTTGAAAAATTTCTTCTACTAATGCGAGCTTGTCTAACTCTTAGATTACCCGTTTTTGAGCAAATTCAGACTTGTTACGTTTGTTTTCTACCGAAGTAGTGGGGTAGGCAGAAGCTTAAGTACCGGGGAATCGCAGCTGATATGAGGAGCGTAAAGATACTTGATCCAATTTTTGAATTGTCTAAAGCTAGAAGAACTGGGAAAAGCCTCCTCTGGTAGATTGTTTCACAATGTCGATACCTCAGGAACAAAGGAGCGGTTGTATCGGTCAGTTTGACACTGTTAGGATGGGAGGTCGAAACCAGGCGGGTCTGGTGCATAGAGCGGTGGCATCGTGGAGGAGAGATCTGAGAAGCAAAGCCCGATTACATAGTGGTAGAAGAGATATTGATCGTCAACGGCTCGTCGGTGTGAAAGGGTCCCGAGACTGTCAGTTAGAGAAGAGTCATCGATCAGTTGGACAGCCCTCCTCTGAACAGCATCGGGCATGGATAGTGTAGTCGGGGCCGTAGAAACCCAAACATGTGAGCAGTACTCGAGGCTGCGTATTATTTGGGCCTTGTACAAAGAGAGGGGGTGATGTGGAGAAAAGTATTCTTACACAAGTAAACTAGCTTTTCCCAGGAGGTGCCGGTGTTGAGATGTGTTTGTGCCAAATCAAGTCCTGGCGGACCAGCTGAAATAAACGGCTCTTTGGTGGAACTCCAAAGTCCGAATGATTGTCCATATTACGAACACTACAGTCGATACGTTTTGTTTCAATGTAACATGCTTCATGAATAAACACTACAGGTAATAGCCTGTTGTATGTGTTCACATTATATCATAATGAGCACATTTATAAATGGGTAGTGAGCCATTTTGATCAATGAATACATTTCGTTGTGACGCATATCAGATAAAACATTATCTGATGAAGGCAAATATACAACCTCGTCAGCAAAAACAAATTAATGTATATCGATCATCTATACGCTCTAGTTTTCGACATGGATAACAGGGTATTCAATCAGTAACGTTGAAATATCAGGCCATTTTGTCAAATAATTTAAACGAAATGTCAAAAGCCGATGTAACTATGGAACAAACTAGTAATATAACATTCGCTCATGCTACCACAGACAACCAACCATGGACAGCTATTTGATGCTATTCGGCAACTCCTCAGCGTGATCTAGGCTTGATCTCGGTAGGAAAACGAACGGAAAGTCCAGTGAAATGAGACAGCACCGTTTTCACTCTCGCAGTTGTCAATTCTGGTATATGTGTCTGGTAATATGTGGCACTTTGTGCAGTCATATTTCGATGTAACTGTTGAGGAGAAGATAAGACACAAACAATTTTGAGCTTCCTAGAGAAAAAATGAAACTATCTTTCTATATAACTTTTGTCACAAACTCACTAGCAATCACATCATAGTCAGAAAATGAGCGACGGTATTTAGTATTACCCCTGACATCCTTTATAAAGAACATTTGCTCGGTAGCACGTAAAATATGGACAGGGCGCGTATGTGAAAATCCCTTCAAATGCTGATGTAAGTCACAATCACGCACCGCATACTAATTTTCATATGTTACAACGACGTATTGTCGAGGCGTGGCGTGGTTTTCATGGAATGAAAATTCCTTTTCTTCGTAAAGAACTCATTGTGCCACTATATTTTACTTCAGTATTAGAGACCATGTCGGGAGGATAATAATATCTAAGAACATCTAGATAAGGAAATATTTGGTGGTATGACAAGCACGCATTGCAATCAGTGTCACTTCAATACAGCATTTTTACAAAGTCGCAGAAGAAAATTGTATAGCTTTTGAATAGTGATATTTCACATGGAATACCCCAAGATTATGGCTCCACAAAGCTCAAAGTAACGCTTTGAGATCTCATAATATGCTACGAAATGCCGATTTTATGTGTTTTTAGACTTAAAATAAGTCTATTGGACATTATGCAAAAGTGCTTCGCTTTTCCGTTGCAGGGCGTCAAAGTTTTCTTTGAAAACACATTTTTCAGATATTTTTGGAACCAATAGTCCGACTTGTATGAAATTTGGAACACATGTATTTTACTAGATGTGCTGGTATTTGAATTTTACAAAAAAAATAAAAGGGTTCGAGAAGGGTGAGAACTACCGCACCTATACATAAGTTAGACCAGAATTTTTTCGCAACTCTCCTAACGACTCTAAATATTTTTTATTTAAAAATCCTTTTATTTACTTCATTTTTTCTCCTATAAAAACAAGCCATCACGGATAGTTTTCGAGGCAAAAAATGTTATTCGGAGCTGGCTTCTAGCAAATGTTCTTATCACATCAAGTGTTTTTGTGCCGTATTGTTATGGGCAGAAACGAAAATGGTGTAAAAATTGAACACTTTTTGGAAAGAGTCGCACTATTCCTGTATTAACTACAATATAATTGTAATATGTAATATTATACTTGTTTATTTTCGTCAACTCACTCAAGGTTGCACGTCCCTTTTTTCCGCTTTTCTTTTTCAACTAGCTGTTTGCAGTAGTATTCTAAATCCTTTTCATCTGATTACTGCATAATGTGTTGACAAAAAACATCGTTTTTAGTTTTTGTTTTGTCATACAATGCATTTTTTGTGAATTTTATTGTGGATTCTTTCTTCTATCGTAACCTGTTAACAAATATTGATGAATGAAACGGGTGATTACTTTTATTCTTAGCACCTTTTATCTTGCTGCGAGACGAGGCTCCATGAAAATCAAAGATTTTTCGAAAATAAAAAGTGATAGGTATAAAAATAATCACCAGTTTCATTCTCCCATAAAAGAGGAATATTCACAGACAATTTCAGAGCTGTACCTATATTTGTCATCAAGTTCCGTTTGAAGAAAAAATGCACAATAAAATGCACAAAAATGAATTTTTCGAAAAAAAAATTAAGACGTTTTTTAGTAATCTCTATACACACCATGAAATTATCAGATGAAAAGGATTAGGAATACTGCTGCAAACAGGTAGTTGTTAAAAAATCGAAAAAAGGGACGTGCCACCTTAAAGAATTGATAAGTGGGAACCCCTTGACGCAACTTTTTTTTTTTTGAAAACTATCCGAAATGGCCTGTTTTTATTGAAGACAAAAGATAAAGTGAGAAAAAATATTTGCTGAATAAAAAATTCAAAGTCGCTGGGAAAGCGGCCAAAAAATTCTGCAGGGTTGGGGGTATTTTCCACAATTGTCGAACCCTTTAGAGTGTTTCGTAAAAGTCAAATATTAGAACGTCTTGCAAGACATAATATGTTTTAAATTTCATTCAAACCGGGCTATCTGAAAAAATATGCTTCAAAAAGAACTTTGAGGCCCTCTGACGAACAAACGAAGGACTTTTGCATAGAGGTGAATCATGTCCAATCGACTTTTTTTGGGTCTAAACATACGTAGAACTTCCCCATTTCCACGGATTATTGTGACACCCTGTATAAGCTATACATATCAAGTACGTCTAGACTTTAATCCAAAATTCTTCTAATGGTACTTTTTTGCTAAATTTTCAAGATTGAATCGAGGATATACCACAAAATAACTTCGGACCAACATATAGACGTACTTGTCATCGTATTGGAATGCCCTAAGTTTCATATCATGGAAATTTTGAGGTATATGTTATACCTGAATATCGACCAGAGCTGTAAAGGAAAAGTTGTCACGCAACATAGATATATTTATATAGGCATAGCACACTTTTGAGCATAGCAACAATTGGCCAACGTCCTTAGAACTTACCCTGGCGGCGATTGAAGTCGTTGGCTTCTCCAGCATGTCCCACAGCCATTTTTGGTACTGCGAACATTTATCTTCGCCAAATTCTTCTTCGTCTCTCTGCCTCAAGCTTTCCGCTTCCTTGAATAGCAAAGATAAAAATATTATTGATCGAAAATACGGACAAGACGTTAAAAAGCTGTTTAAAGGTAGGTCGCTTCTGTATTTTTCATTTAATTTGGGAATGATGTTAATCAACGGGAGTCTAAAGTTATTCGTAACGTAGTTGAATCGTCGAATCGGCATTAATGATGTTAGGTACTCCTGTCGATGACAAGCTAATTTGAGGTTAAGTGCAACTATTATGACAGGTATGGTCTTTTTCACGAGTATCCATTACGATAGAATGACTGCTGATTATCGTACATTAACGCTACAAACAAGTTCCACTAGATTTACACCCAATTCATTATTGCCAACGTTGCAGACTAACACAAAAATGTTACTTGCTGATCAGCTGTTCACCTTCGTAGACGTCAAAGCGTGATGGATACTCGTATAATAGCGTATACGGTATATGATAAATCTGTAAGTATACGATTTTTTGAATGAGTGTATCCGCAACTGCGAGTATGATTAGTAAACAACAACTTTAGAGAATGAGCGCCGGCAGGATTCGAACCCGTATCTCCTCCATCACGTGAAGTCGACTTGACCAATTAGTATACTCGTATAGCACCAGCTGCCAACTAACTGTTAGAATCAACTGGTACAGGTAAATTCAAACTCATCCACGCTACTGTTCCTTTGTTCTTAAAAGCTACTTGATGCCCCATCTGGCGGCGCTTAAGTGAAACAAACCGGATTGGTAAGATATCTCGAATCTCTTTCTAGATACGCCACACCGTCCCGAGAGCACATGGCACGGTACCACCCTGCGGAAACAGTAACCCGCATAATAGATACAATATTTCTGGTCTTATACATTTATTTATCAACGGAGCTAAAAGGTCAGTCCTATTTATTTAAAAACCTAAAGGCTGTTCTTGGGCAACCTCCGTTGCTTGTATTATATTACACCCAGGAAGAGTCACGGCTGATGTATGGAGTGTTTCTGGGGATATTCTAAACACAGAAGGTACTTTTGAGCCAGAAAAGAATAATATGGTAAATAGTCGGAGTGACCCTTCGTACTAGCTGCAAAGACATTTTTAGACTACCAAATTTCAACATTGACATATTCTGAACTTGATATTAGCAGTAGATCGCAAAATGCTTTAGTTGTGTTTAACCTGTAAGTGTCAAGTGCTGAGATAATTTGAAGTATGTTAAAGCAGAGTTGAAGCGGTTTTTGTTGAATAAATGCTTTTCTACATTGCAAAACGCGTTCTCTAATAGCTTTGGTCGCTCAGATTCCAGCACCATTTTTTCCAAATAGTTTTATTACAATTTTCTTAATCAGTTCATGGTAGTACCTTTCGCATTTCCTCATGCACGTGCTCTTTTCTCTGATGGTACTTGTGCTGACAGCACGACTCCAAGTAGAGTTCATCCACGCCCCAGTACTCAAGGTCATCACTGAAAGCCAACACGCACATTTCGTCCACCAGATGGAGTTTCCCGGTGCGGTAGAAATTCAAAATGGAGCTGAACGACTTCGGATGCCGGTCGAAGAAGTACTCGTTGTCAATGACGCTGTAATCGTCGCACAGCTCACTTAAGGCTTCGTGAGTGTTACAGTCTCGCAATCGGCCCAGTCTGGAAGCAGAGAAAGGGTTTAGGATCCCATTACCAATATAAAAAAGTAGGTTAGGCAAAAATGTATACGCCTTAATTTGAACATACCTGTGTAAGCTTGTCTGTCTAGCGTCCTCCAGAAAATCTCATGTTAGGCCTGGGGATGACGAAGTTCCGAGTAGAGGTGTAGCAGAAATCATTTAGGACCGTCTCGTCAGTCGTTCCTACAATAATTGTAGGACATCTCTATGGCCTCCTTGATTTTCATTCGAGTAGTTTTCTCCTTATCCGTGTCAGCGCTCTATTTTGAGGTTGTGTCACAAATATCTATTTGCATCAAATTGTTCATGCTTTGATTTATATCATGTTTTATCAGCCTAAAAATTCTTGCAATTGAAAAAGAAAACATAACTTCCCAAATAGGAGGGCGCTGACGTTGACATGGAAGAGGTGCAAGCTAGAAATTTTTGAAGGAGAGAGAAGACTATGACAATCAAGGAGGCTATAAAGACGTCCCACAAGTATAGTAGGAATGTCTAACGATACGGCCCTTAGACAGCTCAAGTACTTCTACCCGGTGTGCTAAAGTATGTTTAGGCGTCCTCCAGAAACCTTCTCTTTAATGGCCCTGTATTAGACATCAAGACATCTATAAGGGCAATGACGATTCAGATTTCGAGTAGTGGTGTTGCAGAGGTCACTTCCTCTAGCTTAAGCATACCTATCAGGTGTGATGCAGCCTGTACAGTGCCCTTCAGAGCACGTTATGTTTAACTTCCCCCTATATTAAGCGTTTCTGGAAGTAGTGAAAGCACTGGTCTTAGACAGGAGCTAGAGGGGTTTTAAGGCGCTTTTCAGCTTACTTGATGTGACGCTGTCTGTACAACGTCCTCTAGAGCACAATGTTAGACATTGGTTCTAGGGGTTCTAGGAACATTGAACGCTTACTAGCGGCGTATCAAAAATAGCATTTCTTCTAACTACTGATATTTACCTGGTGTGAGGCAGCCTGTCTGTTGTCCACCAGTACACCTCATGTCTGACGCCTCCTACATTCAATAATATACCAAGAACATTGAACCTTGAGTAAAAATCGTTTACCTTCTAACCTTGATCCAGTGTGAGGCAGCCTGCCCCCACTACCTTCTGCTTCCAGGGGTATCAGGAAGATTGAACCTCGAGTAGGGGGCGTAGCAAAGATCATTTATCGTTTATCTAAAGATCCTTGCCTGGCATGAGGCAGTCTATCTAGGGTCCTCTAGAGCATCTCAAGCTTGACACCTCCCCCATTCAATGGTTCCAGGGCTACTTTCTTGAAAAGGAGCTTTTATAGCCACTCTCAGGCACAAACTCACCACACATCCCACCACGGTAATGCTTGCAGCATTTCTTCACAGTATATAGTGTTAAGCTAGGTTCTCATACCGAAAGTATTAGTTATATATCTCTATCGTAAACATAAATACTTCTATAACTATGCACAAGTACAACCGAGCAAGATAGAAACATACTATTATCTTGGTCTATTTTGTTCTCCCGCACCGTACTCAGCATCACCTGCCTCACTCTTGATTGAATATCAACCCATTTATCCTCGCGTATATGCGTGGCAAAATTGTCAGCAGTTAAGCCTCGCGCCGAGCGTCAGTTACAGCTATGTCTGGTAGTCAACCCACCTACCACATTGGAGTAGGTGGTTAGGAGTATCCTCCACTTCACTGCAATATACGCAATTAGCGTACTCTCTCTTCAGGTAGCTGTCAAAACAACCATGCCCTGTGAGGAACTGTACGGTATAGAAATCTATCCTTTTCAGTCCATGTTTTGACATCAGTTGAATCCCATCTCTCCTGCCAACTGACAAGAAGCGCAATTTTTTTCACTTGTAGCTACGACGCCCTTTTTATAGAGCGCAGATCTCTCCGCAGCCAGCAAATCAATTGGCAGGATACCAGCTGCCACCAGCAGTGCATCGGGTGACACCGTTCTGTAATCGTATACCATGCGCACTTTTCGTTGGTTCTCGATATTAGCTGTTCTCAAGGCCTTGTTATATAGGAGCTCCGTACAGCATAAGCGAGTTTGACGCCCCTACCAAAATCCTGCGCCTCTCACTACTGGTCAAATGACATTAGCCGTATAAGTGATGCTGCGACCTTATTTACCTTAACAGTGGTGCGCCTTATGTGTGTAATTATTTTCAGATGTTTGTCAAGCCACAAATCCAGATATTTAATTGCATTTTGGCTCCTAATCTCCGAATTATCAACCTTAACAGCTAATGCTGTCTGCCAGAAACTATAACTATATACTTCCGTCTTCTAAGGAGTCAATTTCAAGCAATTTTCTTCCATCCATATGGTAATTCTCGTGATTCCGTATGCCAAGGGACCTTCAAGTGTATCTCTCTTCTTGCTAGTTACTATTATCGCAAGGTCCCTGATGCCTTACCTGTTTTCTAGTGCGTTGCAGCTTCTTCCAGCTCACTCATGGTGAACGTCCAGACATCCATCAAATTTCCATTCGGTGTAGTACTTCGGAAATAATCCCTCTGCAATTTTCATTTGCTGTTCAGTATCCAGGTACGGTCTGTCTGTGCCTTAGCTTTTTCATGTCTGTCTTGTATGCTTGATCCTAAACCTCGTTTTTCAAGTCATTTCACAAGTCTTTCTACATCCTCTGTTTCATTAATCCACCAATACTTTGCTTGTCCCACTTTGCCATTTTTGTGGACCATGCCAAAGGTGTTTTAACACGGTGTTACGACTACACCCTTCAGCATTTGAACGTTGCCCTTCTAATTATCCCAGTTCTGTGTTCCTTAGGGCTAACTGCAGATTTCCAGGGAATTCTTTTGATTTAGTTCCATTTATCTTTCCAGTTCTCGATTTTACCAATCAGGTTCTCACTATAGAAAGTAATGTCGTATGTTTGGCATCCTTTAATGAAGGTTGGCCCGCCACCATTGTTTTCTTGCTGCTGGAATTTCCTCAAGGAGCTCTTCTCTTTTGTCAGTAATCCGGAATCACCAAGTTGTCGACTTCGAATTGAAATCTCCTTCAACCAGGTACTGATTTATACTGTGGTCCATGGAGTTTCCAATTCATTTAGTATTTCTAAGTAAGCATCATTTGTCATGTTTGGAGGACCAGAAACCAGAACACAGCTCTGTTTTCTCCATCTCTATCCAAATCAACCCTTTTTTGTAAACATTCCCTTAATAGATGTGTCAGCTGTTTGGTTGTATATCCTAATATGTGCGCGTCTCCGCCTGCATCTGATTTCCATTAACCTATTTTTATTATCTTTTTATTCGGCTCCGACACCAGAGCAACGTCAATTCAATTTTCTTTTGAGAACCGATCCACCAAATCGTGTGCCGCTCTGTCTTAGGGATACCAGGAATATTGAATCTTGAATAGGAGCGTATCAGAGATCGTTTATCGTTCAACTGAAGAACTTCACCTGGTGGGAGGCAAGCTGTCCACCGACCTTAAGAGCACCTCATGTCTGGCGCCTCCCACATTCAGTGGTTCTAGGGGTACTACTAATACTGAAGCTTGAGTAGGGGCGTATCAGAAATCGCATATCATTCAACTAAAGAGCTTCATCTGCCCGTAGTGTGATGCAACCTGCCCAACGACCTACAGAGCACGTCATGTCTGACATTCCCAAATTTAATTGTTTTTGGAGTACTAGGAAGATTGAATCTTGAGTAGGGGCGTATCAAATATCGTTTATTGTTTGAATTGTTTAACTGAAGAGCTTTACCTGGTGTGAGGTAACCTGCTGAACGACCTGCAGAGCATCTCATGTCTGACGCCTCCCGCATTCAATAGTTCCAGGGCTGGTACTTCCTGGAGCTTGAGTAGAGGCGTATCAGAAGTCGTTTATGTTTAACTAAGAAACCTTACCTGTTATGTCGCTGCCAGTCTAACGTCCTCTAGATCCTCATATGTCTTACACCCCCACACTAAATGGTTTTAGGGGTACCAAACCAACAGCATTGAACCTTGAGTAGGGGCGTGTCATTCACCTGTTAACTATAGAGCTTTACCTGCTGGGAGGCAACCTGCTTAAAGACCTTAAGTGCCTCTCATGTCTGATTCCTCCTTTAGTTTGGGATACCAGGAATATTGAACCTTGAGCAGCTTTGTATCAAAAACCGTTTATCTTCCAACTAAAGATCCTTACCTAGTGTGAGGCAGCCTGTCCAGCGTCCTCCAAAGCACCTCATGTTTGACACCCCCTACGTTGATAACCACGCGTCTGTTGAGCGCCTTAGAGCGCATGATCATGAACGGCTCAGGGGGCAGCGAGGACATCGACCTCGAGTAGGGACGTTGCAGTTGTAGGGGCAGAGGAATCGATGCGTCCTGTTGCCCCTGCCATCCTGTTGGGGGTGGTGGAGGGGCAGCAGGGGGTCCCAGGCCGCCTCCAACGCTGCCCCCCGCCGCGCTGCCTCCTCCGGAGATATGTGGAATGGACGAGTAACGGGGCTGCCGAAACAAAAAAAAAATGGAATTAGATGCCTGTTGGAGTTTAAAGAAGCTTCAATGATTTTACAAAGTTCTTGGATAATAATAATATTTATTCACTCAATGTACGAAGAGAACAACAAGATGAGTAAATTAATGTAGAATAAAAAAGGGTCGATAGGAGGCATTGCCTGTACATGGACCAATCGTTTTAATTCACAACTGTAGAATACAAATTACAGAAAACGGCCAATATTTACAGTAGATTATGTATTTACTTGATGTTCGTATCTATGAGTTTACGAACTTCAGTTCTAGATATAGAATGTATCCACTTTTTCAAATTTCTTTTGAAATAATTTCGAAATGTAAATCTTTTAAACCTTTAGGAGGAATTTTGTACCTTGTATAACGATTATGTTTAATTTTTTGGTCGGTGTTGATAAATTTATGGTGCTGAGTGATACTGTGTAAGAAATAAAGCTGTCATACCAGACATTTGTACATCTGCTTAAAGTTTGTCAGTGGGATAAAGTTTCGGTTTTTGAACATCATTTTTAGAATACTTTTTTGAAAAATATCTAAATTATAGATATGTACCATATGTGAGATGAGGCTCAATCAGAGCATGGTATAATGTACGAAAATATTTTTCTGTCAGTATATTCGATACAAATCTAACTTTCTTTAAAATGTAATTGACATGGATGCCCCAACGTAAGTGAAGATCCGATACTATCCCAAGGTATTTTATGTTTGTCACTCTAATAATTTGCAGCTTTTGGACATTAATATTGAAGTAATTTGGCAAATGTCTAGCATAAGATGCAAATGGTAAAAAATGTGTCTTAAAATAGTTAATGCTTAATTTTCTGGCACCGAGTAATTTTGACAAAATCATTTTTAATTACATATTCTAGGTCAGACCAGTCATTGCCTTCATATAATATTGCAGTATAATCTGCAAGACTAGTTATTTTGCCAACAGAATTTGGAAAATATCGTTTAAATACATATTGAACAGTAGACCTAAGACTGTTCCTTGTGGGACACCGCACTTAATATACATTTCCGTGCTAAGTGATCTCGATACCTTGACCGATTGTGGGCTGTTTGATAGATTATTTTCGATCAGTGCGTATGGTTTTCCTCTAAAACCAATTCTCTTCAATGTTTCTAATAATAATTTGTGATTTACTGTGTCGAAATCTTTCTTTAAATCAACAGAAATACCCCTGCCATAAACGTGTCCTACAATAGTAGGAATGACGGACGATATGGCCCTTAGGAGTCGCAGTTTATTTAAACTGACTTCTTAGCTGTCACATAGTTATCTGAATTAACCTAATTAAATTATTCTCTTCTAGGTGCAATTATTCCGAAAAGAATATACTTTTTGCCCCACAAATGTCACCATTGGTTTTTGAAAAACCCTGTATACAAAGAAATCTCCTGATACATCTATCATCCAAGGGACTGACCGTTTCCTTCTCGTGAAGGAAACATTAAGAAGTCCTGATGGTATTATTTATAATAGTCGGAACGGATCGGTGTAATCAAGCCATCCAAGGATTATCGATTATTATGTAACAGTTAAACAAAGAACTTTGTTCGAAATTATTGTTCGAAATTAAGATTGGCGTTCGGGCAATTTAAAAAGATTCTCCATATTGTCAGGAGTCACGCTATTACTAGGTAGGTAGAAAAAGTGCTAGGATCAAGGTTACAGTTGCATTTTCGTTGAAAAGTGGTTGAATACGATTTGTTTGCTTTCCGTCTTTGTGACAACGTATAGTATACGGTTGTATTTCACTAACAATTCTGGAACGAAAATAGACGAAATCTGGAAAGCCTATAATGTGATTATAAAAAGAAGGGATCTCGCACAAAACATATGGAAAATGGGTACCTGTCGATTTTTCTAAAAAGTGAGTGTGATATATTTCTGGCTTCCCACAACAAAAGTCATCGGTTAGTTCCCGATGACTTGAGGGGACAATTTTTAGAGAAAATGGTGAATGTATCGATTGTAGTTCTCGGACTAAATCAAGAGCCCCGCAGGGGGTACCAGGATGGCCGAAGCGTTTCCTGAAAATTCTAACGGACTTTAGAATTTCTATAGTTACTTAGCATGTTTTTGCGTACAATCTTGGAAATTTGGTTGGAATTAGATTAAATAAGACGACTGAATCGCCGAAAAACAATTCTAGAGTCTTATGAAAAGGCGACATAGGACACGCATGTTTCCGAGGTTATATTTAATAAATAGTAGAATATTTTAGCTTTTTAAGATTGACGAATAAGTCTGGACCAATAGAACTCGTTTAGACAATTATATCCCAGCTAAAAAAATTACAGCAAAATTACATACCTAGTAACACTGAATTAGTCCCCTACCAAGATTTTCAGTTATTATTAGGTTAATTCGACCGCAGAATAGGTTAAAAAGCTTGAATGACCAATTTAAAAAAGGTTATATTTACTTTTGCCTTTTGCCCAAAGCGGGGAATGAAACCAAAGTAACTTAGAAGTCAATATTAGGTCGATGGGCATTTGTTACCAATAGGTGGAATGATATAAACAACCATTTAGGTCATCTTGCAGAAAGATCGTAGTAATTTTGCCCTATAAAGTCACATGACCTAAATTTAACAATAAATGCTCATAAATGCAGTTGGTAACGTATTGGAAAATAATTTAGTTGGTTGGGGATGCACTTGTCTGTACCCAAGTGTATTAAAGGAATGGGTTCCATTTGTGGTAGTGATCATAACAGAATGGTTCCGGAATTAGATTTTCGGTCACAAGTGAACGAAAAATCTATGCGCAGAAATTTTGTTTGTCAAATGTGGCTACAATAGTTACCCAACATTCAGGGGCCTTAGAAATAAAATAATATAACGAATTTTGTTAACAATTTTAAGGATACACTCTGATAACAATACAAGTTGAGATTATAAAAAAGCTTTGTTTCAATAATAATAATAATAATAATAATATTTATTTACTCCAAAATACAGGGAACATGAAACGAGTAAATAAATATAATATATCCATAGGAGGACAACGCCTGTGCATGGATCATATTTATGTATGTTGAATTGCAAAATATAATAAAATAGAGAGAAAAAAGAAATTATTGGTAAGAATGGTAGAGCATTTATTGTGTAATATTTGAGCACTTGAGCCTAACGTATTGCGTAATTGTTTTAAATTATTTGGTAAATGTTCGTACAATTTTGGAGCTATATACAGGTGACATCGTTTCATTAGGGATTTGTTTGGTTTAGGAACATTTTTTGCGCGTAATTTATATCTGGTTTTATGATTATGTTTAATTATGTCGTGTTCACTAATAGTTTTGTGATAATGAGTGATGGTATGTAAGAAGTAAAGTTGTTTAGTATCATATACTTCTCCATCATTATATAAGTCATTAGTTGGGTATAATTTTGATTTGCCTAACATTGATTTTAAAATTCTTCTTTGAAGTACATCTAAATCGTTAAAGTATGTCGTGCATGCAGCACCCCACACTACTACACATGTTATGTGTGGCTCGACTAAAGCTTGATATATTATTCGTAGATAATATTCAGTTAATATACCGGTTAGAAATTTTATTCTATATGCTATGCATCTAATTTTCTTTAGTATGTGAGAAATATGTACATCCCATCTCAAGTGGGGATCTAGATAAATTCCTAAATATTTTGTATCATTAACTCTATTGATTTTTATATTTTTATCATTTACCTTAAACCGAAGGTGGTTATATTTTGGTAGATGATTAGATAGTGATGAAAATGGTGAAAAATGAGTTTTAGTAAAGTTAATTGTTAATTTTCGGTTATTAAACCACTGAATAATTTTGCAAAAGTCATTTTGGATAATATCTTTTAAGTGGTTCCAATCCTTACCTTTATAGAGTATAGCAGTATCGTCTGCAAAACTGACTATTTTACCAGTATTGTTAATTTTGAATATATCGTTTAAATAAATATTGAATAACAGAGGACCCAAAATTGTACCTTGTGGAACACCACATTTAACAAACATTTCTTTACTATACGAGCTTAATAATTTTACTGATTGCGGTCTATTTGATAAATAATTTTCCATTAAAGTATACATCTTTCCACGAAAACCTATTCTAAAGATTTCCAAAAGTATATTGTGGAGATCCGGCCCTGCCTCTTTACCGAGTCGCAGCAGTTTAATCGGGCTCTTGAAAAAGTTTAATTTCTACCAGTAAAACAACGTAATTTGTGCATAGTGACATATCCATACCATCAAGATAGAAGCCAGCAGCCTACTGTGAGTAAGAAACCATCGAATTTTCATCGATATTCCGCTGTTGAAGCAATACAGCAGTGTGTGCTAGCCACAGTGCTGAGATTTCCTCCTGCGTTTGTGGAATTCACGTCGCACAAAAAGACTCCTTCATCGTCGTGTTACAAAACACAGTACCGTACTCAGATATGGTCACAGCACATCTGAAAGAAGGCAATTGAACCAAGAAAGATGTCTCTACAAAGTATTCCTACAACATCAACAAATATCACCAATGCTCCATCTTATTCTACTGTACTAAATCAGCCAGTCACTTACAAGCATCCCAATAAAGATCAAGCCATCGTTTTCAATTCCATCGAGGGTACCAGGATACAAGATTACCTCTTGGAGCTGGGCCCCATAGTAGATCCAAAAAATATAATATTCTGCTCCAGGATTTCAAATAACCGTATATGCATTTATTTCTCCAACAAGCAAATAGTCGACAAATTTCTCAATAATCCTGGAAAAATCGAATTGCAAGGACAAGTTGCACATGCACGGCGACTAGTAGCACCTGCAGATAGATTAGTCATCTCAAATGTCTGCCCCACAATACCGCACGCAAAAATCAAAGATAGCATACAACGTATAGGCATCAAAACAGTTTCGCCTATTTCATTTCTGAAGATCGGCGCACCACTTCCTGAATATAATCATATTTTAAGTTTCCGAAGACAGGTATA